TCTCCCCGTCCACCGCATGTCCTTTTCGGCACGCCCATCACACGCTCCGTGACCCCACAGGGAACTCCACCGAAGGCCCCGCGACAAGGTTCGCATGCGCCCCCCCGCCCACCGCATGCCGCATGCCCATATCGTCACACCACCCACACGCTTCGAGGCCCCATAGGGAGCCCCACCGAAGGCCCCAGTGCCACGGCTCGCATGCCCCCCCCCCCGCCCACCGCATGTCAATTTCAGCGCACCCAGCGCATGCTTCGTAGCCTGGTGGGGAACTCCACCGACGAGACCCAATAGCAGGGTTCACATTGCCCATGTCCATTGCATGTCCACGCACAGCTGGATACCCCATAGCAGGACACGCACAGCTGTGCACGAGACCCAATAGCAGGATACCCCACGCACACCGCATGTCCATTGCCGAACACCCTTCACACGTTTAGTGGCCCCATAAGGAGCCCCACCCGCAGCCCCAGTGACATGGTTCACATGCGGCTCCCCGCAACGTGCATGTCCATGTCGGCACCCCCCGCACACGCCTCGTTGCCCCACCAGAAGCTCCATCGAGGATGATACTCTCAATGCCGTTGAACACAAATCCAACTGACTGAATAGTTCGCCAGGAGACTTCCCAACCGTCCTGTGGTGCTAGGTCCTCGTTTTGAAAAGACACCGGTCCACGTCCTCTTCTTTTCGTCCCCCCCACTCTCCTACCTCTGTCCTCCCTCCTCCCACCCTTGCATGACCATTTGATCACACCACCCACGCGTTTCGAGGACCCACAGTAAAGTCCGCAAAAGGCCCCAGCGGCAACGTTCCCACGCGGCACACCACTCACACGGTTCGTGGTCCCATCGGGAGCTCCACCGAAAGGCTCCAATGGCAGGGTGAACATGCGCCCCCCCCCCCACCACCCACCGCATGCAAACTTCGTCACACCCCTCGCACGCTTCGTGGCCCCGAAGGAGCTATACCGAAGGTCCCCAGTGGCAGGGTTCGCATGCGGCGCCCAGCCCGCCGCATGTCTGTTTCGGCACA